AAACTCAAAATAGGAAACTCAAAATAGGAATAATTATTTAAGGAATCCAAATGGAAGAAAGTAGGGGACATCACAGATCCAAAAGAAACCTCAGAGATATCCCAACTATCCTATTGTTCGGCTTTATGTCTTTTGAAATTATTTAATTTGATATTTCAATCCTGCAAATCATTTAGGATTTAGGACTTATGTTTACACAATATCAGACTGTGCAAATAGCCTAAAAAGATAGGAGAATTTACACCGTACAGATAGGAGGATTTACACCGTACCGCACGGTAACCTCCGAATTCTAAAGCGTTAGGACTTATAATTGTACAACAGAGTTGTACAAAATGCTTAAAGAGTGATCCTATGGTTATTTAAATTAAAGAAAGATGATAGGTGATGTGAATATGTTCATATGATGTGAAGATGTTTTGCTGCTACAGATCCACCTAGAAATTGTTCCTCGTCGCGCTGCCCACGATGTTCGCTCCAAACTCTTCGTAGTAGCACCTCCTGGTTTAGTTTTAATTTTGAAAATGCTCCTAATCACTAGGTTATTCTATACTAAGTCATAACATATCAAAGTAACTAAGCATGCAGTGTGAAAGTAAAGTAACAATGTACTGTACAGAAAAGAGGAAATACATTATAACATGCTGGGAAGATAATATAACAGGCTATGAAAACAATATAACATGCTGGAAAAATAAAATGCTGTAATATAAATTAAACCTGTACACCTGGTAGATTCATTGCTCCTTTAAGTTTAGCTATTATGCGCTGTGTAAAAGAGGAAAGTATGACCTGAAAAAGGGCTTAACAGAAACAGGTAAATCGTAGGAAAAAGATAAACAAATAAAATGAAATACAATATCACATATAATGACCAAGAATAAGAAATTTATATGTGATATTGGAATGTCCCCAATTGCCAGGAGGATTTGAGTGTAAGACAAACTCAATTCCCGGAGCATTGGGTTTCAGTTTTGGTCAAGTTAAGGTAAGAATTTCATTATTTGATTTAATTAAATCAGTCATGTATCACAATCTAGTGCACATTCGTGCCTAGTGTCCTAATTATATCATGAATTGGGGTCAGATGTCTGGCTTCTTAGGATCATTTGAAAATTTTGTTGATAAAATCTCTCTCAAGGTGTGCTCCTAAGACTTAGGAAGCATACATTTTAGTTTGGGTCTGAAGTGGTTCTAAAGTGTCAAACCTCAGTTAAGTGTCATTTTAACTAATCCTCTAACATCTTTAGATTAAGCTTAGCTCATCATCAGACTCCTAAAACCTAAATGGTAAACCTATAACTTTGGCAAA